CGGTGATGATTCTCCTCCTAGATCTGGAGTGAACCGGTAAATATGAGCTCCGATCTATTCGAACAGCCTTCAAATCGACCAGTTTTTTGAAGGTCCAACCGGTTTTAGGTTCGACTTGCAATAAGTAAATTGATGTCGAGATTATATTGCAATTACCCAAAGATTGAGATAAAATTGTCAAACGCAAAAAGGTTAAGGTTTATTTAGCAATTAACCCTTTATTTTAACATCAATATTATCTTTTTATTGTTTCAAGTTAATTATTTTAACATCAATATTATCTTTTTCTTTTGTATCTCATGAAAAAATTTCTTTAAAAACAATTAATAAATTATTTTAATAGCATAGCCAAACAACTTTAGAAGCTTATAAACAATTATTTTTTAATAATAATAATAATCAAGCTGTCATTCTTTATTAATGATAATAAATATTGTTCATAATAATAAAATCGTTAATTTATTTTTCCTTATGATCAAATTTTTTAAAATGTAATATGTTCATTATCTAGAAATTTAATATTAAATACTCACATATTACTTATAATATTTTATGTACATTTGTGCACGTGCACAGGATATCTACTAGTCAGAAGAAAACTTGAGGAAGAAGACGAAGTTGGGGAGGGAGTAGAGAGATTGTTGTGACTGCATTCTGTTTTTCATTTCTCCCACATGATGCCTTTTACATGTTTTGGAATCACTCGGGCAATTAATGCTACAGTCCCGTTATGAAACCATTACATTAGGATTGTAATCGTTAGATCATCATGTAACCGTCGTGAATAGTTGATCTAACGATTACAAATTCCGACGGAATGGTTCCGTAACGCGACTGTAGAATCTCCCCTTAATAACTACTATTGAGTTAACAAATTATAAATTCACGCTAGAAGTACCAGAATTATAAAAAGCGTAATGCTACATGTAAAATTGTAGTTTATACATAATTATAAAAGTCGCTAGATACCCGCTAGGCGCTCGACCAACGCCTAGGCGTCGCCTAGTCGGGACTTAGAAAAAAATTATAAATAGCTTGCTTTTCATTTATTTTAACTACCTACAAAATAAAACTATCTCAACTTATAATAAACTCATACACCTAAGCTCAAATAATAATATTAATATATTTTTTTAAAAAAAATGAGAACAAAATAATATAATTAATATTTAAAAAAAAACTAAAAAATTGCCGTCGAGCCCGCCTAGAGCGCCTAGATCCGTCTAGGCGCCACCTAACCGCCTAGTCGTCGTGCCCGACAAGTCCGCCTAGGAGCGCCTAGGGCCGCCTAGACCCGCCTAGCTAGGCGCTGCCTGGCCATTTTTTTAGCCTATTTGTACAAATCGGAGGCGGCTGCCTAGGCCGAATTTTAGAACATTGAGTTTACAAGATTAGTTGACAACATTTGTTAAAAGTATCATTAAGTCAAATCTTAACCACACGTTTATTTGCATCTCAACCATCTACATTATGCCACATCATATTGTCGTTGAATGTTGTACAAAAAAATTGTACAAATAAATTTTTCCTTATAAAAAATTATGTAGTAACTTTTCCTTCAAGGTATTTATGTTAGAATTAATATTTTATTTTTATTTTTATCTCGTTAAGAATTTTTTTCAAATAACTAATTGGTTTTATTGGCATAAAAATACCCCTAGTAATTGGGTAAACAACTACA